GCTATTTGCAATAGCCAATAGCAAACTAGCTATTGTACCCGCCCTCTGCTGCAGTTCTCAATCAGGTCCCCGCTAGTGATTGACAGCAGCAGAGGGCGGGTACAATAGCTAGTTTGATATTGGCTAATGCAAATTGAAATAGCCAATAGGAATCTAGCAATGCATTCCTGTGGCCAAATTTATTTTTTCCTTTTTTTTGACGGCAGCAGAACCGCCGGTCAATATAAAACAGTTGGGTGGAGCTAGCTGTCCTTGATGCTGATTTCAGCCGATTTACGGCTGAAATCAGCCGTACCAGCTTGAAGTGAATAGCCGAACACCGTTCGGCTTTCTTCGCATCAGGTCGGTCATTCACTCGGCTGCCTACGGCACCTCAGTGAATAGACCCCATAGTCTTTAAAAAAAGAAATATTTCAGTTTTTTACTTTATGCAACATACTTCTTGAATACATTGAAACTTTCTTCACTGGTTTGAGTTAACAAAAGCAGAAAGGAAAAGCTAACATAAGCACAATAAAACAAAAAGTTACAAACGTAAAACTTGTTTTTACAATAAAAAAAATATATACTTACAGTGGTAGACCATCCTGTACCACATAGGTTGCACAGTAGCTTTGACGATTGACTGTTCCATCTAAAGTGTTGTAGTTGATTTTCATCAGAGTCTCCGGGGAGCTGAAATAAGGGATACTTCCTGCTCATATTATTTGTATTAACTGTTTTAAAGGGTTCTGTCTATATATTTTAACATACAAATGTCTCAAGCAATAAAAAAAAATTTATAAAACCTGCAGAACAGGCTGAAATAGATGGACTGTAACTTTAATAATAGAAGGTTGAGTAAGGCCTTGTTCACACAAAGCGATCTGGCATTCCTGTGGCAGGAACCTACAGAATCCCAGGTGTCCTGTTTAGATGTGGCCACTGTAACTGTTCAAGTTAACGAATGGGTGACAGAGGCCGCCTCTATCTTGTGTCCAGGGACAGTGATCTGTTCCAAACCTCATGTATCGTATATGATTACATCCACACTTCCGCTTACAGAGGCGAATGCTGCCATTAACTTGAATGGGTACAGCAGCCACAACCTAAATGGGGACACCTGGGATTCCTGTGAAAGGATTCTGTAGGTTCCTACCACAGGGATCCCAAATCACCACGTGTAAATGGGGCCTTAAGGGGAGTAATGTGGACATTACTTTCACCTTCATGATTTTTTTTGCTGATTTTCCTCCTCAAAAGCTTTTAGTATGAATTGTTTCAAGACAACAATCTTCTCTGTGGTCAGTGCTATGTATGTGAGATGGAAGTGCAGGTGGGGGGGAGATCTACTAAAGGAATAGAGACTGATTTTAAAGTGAACATTAACTGAGCTTAGCAAACAAGTTGAAGTTGTGTTCGCTTCAATCAAAAAAACTATTTAAAAAAAATTTCCCCTACACATGATGGGTATTGAATATGAGCAATAGTATCTTTGCAGCACATCTACAAAGGAAGAACGGCCTAAATATATAAAGAAAACATTTGTCTGTGCCCAAAGTTCGCTTTGTAATCTAAAACTATTCACAGAAACAGAATTTTAAGACATTACATTGAAATTATAACCTCTTTGATTTCAGAAGGCACTCAAAGGTGATTGAATCTACGGCCATAGGGTGACTCACGTCTCCAGTTCACTACTGGAGTTCACTGAAGATCCCATGCAAATAACTTATCTGGAAATTGGAAATGCCATATGGCTAGGCACATATGACATACCCTACTCCCTACCTGACACTCAGGACTGGCAATAAGCACTAAACACTGAATTCTGGGAATAAGCATATGCTGCCTATTTAGTTCCATTACAGAGGAACTGAACCCAGGAACCTGTTCACAAAAAGCAGGCAAAGAACAAAGGTCTAGTCACCAGTATTACCTGTGGTCCCTCTGCAACAGATATTTCCCAATCACTGACTTGCCTTGCCTTGTTCTGCACTGTGCAGTATGTTTTTTGTCTGGTACGGACAGACTGCAGTTATGTGAACAGAGCCCAGAAATACCATAGGGATACATTGGGATGCTTCTTTGGTCTAGTGAACAAACTGTTCTGGTCTGGACATGATCCGGACATGGTGTGAGCAAGCTCTTTGAGTTCAGGTCCATAATTAGTGTGATGCAGTTGCAGTGCATTGTAGATGTGTTGTGTGTTTTATGTCTTTCTATTAAACTCCATGTAGCACATGTTTTGCTGGAAACCACATTAAAGATGCAGCATCTGGGGCTTTCTCCAATGATTGACACCTGAAAAGCCCCCTTAAGTGCCTTTTTTCAGTTTTGACTTCACATAGAATTCTAGGTCAGTACCTCGGAAATTCTAAAATCAGAGGGTTAGCAAAAGAAGATCAGCAATGGAAACTCCCATATTTCTCATGCTCCATCCTTTCTCATAGATTATTCTTATGTAAACATGGCCCCGACCACAAACAATACAATTCTTAAATCTTACTCTGTATAAGGATCATGGAAGGGTTTGTTCTTTCTAATAGCAGTATAAAAAGGAGGGTTGTAAATACTGAATTCTACCTGAAATAAAAGACAAAGACAAGTAGTTACAATTATGTATAGTTTTAACTGTTAAACATTTCTAGTCTCCTGAACATAAATATAAACCTTCAACATATTAATAAATAAAATAAATCAATAAATAAGCAAGGTAATAATCTGAAATAAGAGTGGAACTTCGGGATCTAAAATGTCAACGCAATAAGCAATCCTGACTGTTCACAGCAGCCATAGGGTTGATTTATTAAAGTGGGATTAAATTCCCCACCCCCAAAACATTGCTGATTGGTAGTCTTGCGTAGCTCAACTCACAGACCTGACATGCTGAAATGAAGTAACTCTCATGCACATGTACAGAAGTTACATCATGCCAGCTGGCCAATCAAGAGGCTGAAGATGCCAAACCCGGAAGACGACGGGAGAGAAGATGGCATCACCAGTGAGGGAGGAGTGCAGCACTGGAGGGGATCAGGGAGGCAGGTAAGTCTGTCATGTGCTGATATGCTGTGCAGAATGGCACATTATGGCTAAAAGTGTCAAGGGACTTTTTTTTCTCTTTTTTTTTAACTTGCCTTTACTTCCACTTTTGCAATTTTTCACAAGTTTCAACTGCTGCTTTTAGACTTTGTAAAATAACCCCTAGCCATACATTTCCTGAAAGATAATTGACAAGATTCTGACTAAATCTACAAGATAAAACTGTATGTAAGAAACACAAAACTGAAAATAAGCAACTTATGCTAAAAATCTGTGTTGTGGTAAAACCTGATCTGCAGTGCCATTTGTGCATTGTGTTGATGTGTGTTGAGATAAAATGATGCAGGCATACACAACACTTTGCCATGTGCTGCCACACAGTTCAATTAATGCTGTTTTAAAAGAAAAAAATAAAGCACTGCGATGTGTTCTAACAATGCACCGCAGAGCATGACATACACCACAATATGGTGCACACTGTTGCACGTGTATGGTATGTGTGTGTGGGTGACACAGAGTCCTCAATCTCTTTTTGTACTGCCCCTTCAGTCAATAAACAGGAGCACTCAGGAGTGCAGAGGCTTCACGGTTATTCACAAACTCAGGAGGCATACTACTCTCCCCAGTTATGAATGGATAGCAATCCTCTGTACTGAGTTTCCTGTCCATTCATAAACTGAGCACATAGTAAGTGATTATTATGTCCCCAATCATGAATGAACAGGAAGTGATGTAGTGAATCTCCTGTTCATTCATAACTGGGGACTTAGTAAGCTTCGATGTTTGTTCTGCACACGGAAGTATCAGCAAATATTTCACATCCTCTGCTCCGCATGCTGAACCACTCGGCCCGCCCCTCTCCATCCTGACAGTGGATCTCTCCTCACTGCATGGCATCCTAATACTCTCCTCTGCTCCCCGCCCTCCCCCCGCCAGCTGCAGTAGTCTATGTTCCTTCCAATCCCCACTGTCTCTGCCGATAAAGGCAAGAGAGAGTAGCAGGGATAGGAGGGGACACAGATTGTAGAATGCAGCCAGCTCCCAGTGGGGAGGAGAGCAGTGCAGAACCCCAGAACTTGCAGCGGGCAGCAATGGCTGGGGGGTATGAATGGGCAGGGCAGATTTTATGAAGAGCAGGGGGATGAATTTACAGAGGACCCTTCTGTTATAAGTTCATGGTCGCTGAAGCGGTCATGAGCTTATAGCAGAAGGGTGAAAGTCACTGTATGCCTTACCTTGTTGGCAGGGAAAATGTTAAACCAATGAAGGTTGGTTAATTTGCATAGTAAATAGCAGTAAATAGGATAAAGCTTTGTTCACTTTGAGTACTCCATCATGTACTAGCAAAAAATCCTGTTTTTTATTTCCTTCCACATAATTAGTTGTTTTTTTATTCAGGAAAAATATAAAATACTTCATATGAATATTTGGACACTAAAACAGGTATCTTTCTTTGAAAGTTTCCCCTCGGTTCCTGTTTTGTTTTTATTTGCTATCTGTGTCTAATTTGGGTTGCTTATCCTTCCTATATGTCATCGTGACCATTGTCACTAGGACAAAAGGTGATAGGAAATTTATTCTTTTACAGCTATCACTAGAACTGGAAAAGAAGAGGAAACGTTGTAAGGATGTAAAACCCAAGAAATGACGAAAGTAAGGATGCTGTCATTACAATGCAGACTGTGACAAGTGCACAGGTATAAAGTAATGTGTGCTATTGGTATTATAACTGAATGATGAAAAAAAAGAAAGATGGTACTAGAAGAAAAGAAGAAGTAAATACCATAATAATGACTTACCTCCCAGGGAACTTTTTCATCAGGCACAGGGAAACGTACTACATTAGAGTCAGGGTACAGGATGTTCCTTGAATTAACATGGCATGTAGAGAAAAGTGTTTCATTCATATCTTTTAGGTCTATATCTCCAAGTAATTTGCTGGACACTATCCAAGAAACAAGGGAAAGCAACACTTGTGATTCAACCAAATAAAAATCACATTTTGAGAATGATTTAATTATATTAAATAGCAGTTCTTTGCAATAAGTGAACCATGCAGAGTGCTACTAATGCTATCGTACAGTAGAACTAAAATCATAAAATTACTTATGTACATTTGTCTCTATGATAAAAAATAGCACACTCGTTTTAACAGTTTATCAAGACAATTGTTGAAAATGCTGTGCACATAAATTCAACTAACATTGATTAATATTTTTTATTTTGATAAGCCCCATTTGCCAAATATTAAAGCCAATTTAAAAATATAGTTGTCCAGCCTTTATCTATCATTATCCCTCAGTGCCTTAAATGTTCTTTGTTTTTACTTTTACTTTATACAATTAATTGGTATATGTAAAGAAACATTATCATCAAAGAGGAAAAATACAGCAAATGTAAAAGAGTAATAAATCTGCTTTCTCCTATTTAAATGTCAGTTTTAATTACACTTATAATAACATAAAAGTGCCACATTGGGGCTGTGGCAAAACAACTACTATGAATTGAAGAGGATGATATGGGAGGAAATGGCCACTTAAAAGAGAACTATGGCCAAACCTTTTTGTCTGTAGTTTTCTATAGAGTCACAGGAGTACATTTACTAATGTACTCCTGTGACCCAAAACTCAGCATATATCTGACTATTGTCTGCTATATGCTGACAGCGCAGAGCCGCCCTGCAGCTGGGAAAGACCCTGACAATACCTCGCTGCCTGATTGACAGCTGGCTCTGGCTCACTAGAGGCAGAGTCAGCTGAGCCCACCACCTTCTGTCCCTCCTGTTAGCGCTGGAGGAACAGAGAGGGGAGGAGGGAATCCCTGCAGGGAGCGGTGAATGAATAAAATCTTACAAAAATGTGGGATTTTCCCTGCAATTTCCAGCCCCCCGAAACTCATTTTTCTCCAACTGGGAGCTTTGGCAGGTGCACCAAATTTAACCTTGAGCAGGAGTGACTATTTAAGTTTATCTGCTGTCAGACTGTAGTCAGACTGATCCTGATTTGATAGTCTGCGCTCATTTGGACTCTCCTAAGCACTCTGTTATGGTTTGGATCTGCCTGCTGCTGGGTGTAACCTTGCCACAGGGCAAAGCAAGCAATAATGGTTCTTATTAATAATAATGGTTATTATTAAATGTTATGAATATCTGTTTCTCCGCAGCCAATCAATAGCAGGTTCATGGTCAGTGGTGCATGCTGGGGGAGAACATAAATATTTGTGGCTGACCATGTGAGAGTCTCTTTCTCCCTCAGGCCTCTTGCCTGGGGGAGGGTGCTGTGGATTGTCTGACCCTTCTAAGCCTGCTGCCTTGAAGGGAAACCATGTGCTCAGACTGGGGCTCAGTCAGTGTAACTAAGGAAGGAGATGACAGAGAGTAAATTAAGCAGGTGTGGGGAGCCTGAGAAGTTGATCCTCTGCTGCAGCATGGTGATCTATTCTGAAGTGGACTGGTAGCTATTGTATCAAGTACTGCACAGTCAGGAGCTCAAGACACAGATTGCCACAATTGGCTTAAAGGTCTTCTATCTGTGAAGGATGCAAGTACTTTGTTCCATCATTTCTGGAGTCTATCACACATTGGGTGTCCTGTGCCTCTTTCCCAAATTTCTGCAATAGTTAGCAAACGATTTACTTTAAGTTAATGCACTATGGTAAAGCATTTAGATGTTAAATAATGTAAGTACACCTTTTGTATATACAGTAAGTATAAAGATGTAGGTTATTCAATGGAACTCAGTGATTGCCATAATGTATATTTATTCCTTACGCACCAACGACAGGAGCAGATTCTTTGGAGCCAAACCCATTATCTAGGAGTGTGTTAACAATCCAGTTTAATGCTTTAGCAGATCTTAATGCCTATTAAAAGAAAAGAGAATTCTACTAAACAGTTAAACAAACAAAAAACCTAAATAAGCTGGTAAATTCAAATACATTCGCTATAACATAATTGTTCACAGAATAAGCAAGATTGTAGTATCACATGTTGCAATAAAGTGAGGGTAGCAGGCATTTATTTTAACGAAGAGTGTATACCGCTATCAGTTCCCGAAGGGCAACATAGTGTTACTCCACCCTGCGTCTGTCTTTTATGAATCCATCATTCAGAGTGTTCTCCCCATAATGTTTCAAATAACACTTATTGAATGGCTGAGAATTCAATCGCAGATCCTGTGATTGGTCTCTTCTCCTGGAACTTTTTCTCCAGATTCACATGCTTATGAGGCCACACTTGTAAAGTACGTTGATGTGCTTTAAAAAATAACCACTTTTGTTTTTTTTAAACAGTGGCATGCCTTTAAAAAGATCATACTGCTGCTTTCTAAATTGGCTTCTTAGTATTGGCATCCAATAATTTGCTTCATACAACCAAAAAGGACCTTCACAGAAAGCTCTGTAGAGCCAATCAGCCACTCTGGCTATGTATCAAATTACAGATGGAACATTCTCTACTCTTAAAAAGTGTATGTAAACCCTAAGAATAACCATCTCTTACTACTTTCTAGTATGTTAAATATAGCTTTTAAAGCATATTGTTATATATGTTTGAAAGTAAAAAAAACAAAAAAAAACTTGATTTTGTCAGAAACTCAGAGCTGTCCTGTGTCCTCTGCACACTTCTTGTAGTATCTTAAAGAGCCCTCCTCATTCTTATCTTGGAATATAGAATGATTAGCCTTTATGTTGTAGACATCTTAGAGTGGAAGTGGGTGAGTAGATTAGTGAAAGGCACTAGGGGGGCCGACACCACTAAGTCCACAAAAATGCTGTGTGTTGTCAGCCCACAACAGGGCTTAAAGTGGACCTTTACCCAAATCCAAGTTGCCAATAGATAACAAGCAGCATGCCAATATACTTCCAAGCATAGACTGGTTTATGTAATATGCTGTTTGATGTAGCAAATTAGTATTGTAAAATACAACTGAGATTTAAAACCATGAAAGCTAACATAAATCAAATAATTACATCCCTCTTAAAGTGGACCTTTACCCACATCTTTAAAACTACAACAAATACACCTTTAGAAATGTTTAGTAATAACAATCTACAAACACATACTTCTAGATAACTGCCCGCTTTGTATTCTTTGCATACCTTATATCTCTTTTCTTCCCAAGTCTTCTGACAGTGGCTATGTTTACTAAGGGCAGATTACTAGCTCTCCTTTTACTTCCTGGATTTTTGGCACATGTGGCTAGACATGTGACTAGGACATGTGACCATGCACATCTCAGGGGAGGAAAATGCCTTTTTCTGGGATCTCGTGAGAGATTTCCCAGCAGTGCTCTGCTGATGACAAGGCAATCCCAGGGTGCATTGCTTTGGCAAACTGAAGTCATTTTGCCCTTTCAAAGCAGGAAGTGAATGCTCTGCAAGTGTAAGTATTTCATAATCACAGCATTTTACACCTGACATGTCTATGTTATTATTAATTATCATACATAGAGGGATGTGTTGGTAGAATTTGATTTTTGAGTGCAGGGTCATAGGGATAAAACATGTGGAGACACAAAGTTCATTTACCTAGCTGATGTGGCCTTACCAGTAACAACGTTTTATATTGCACTTTGTGTGCTTGTGCAGATACTGTATAGAATGTTGTACTTTGCTTTTAAAATATTTTACCTGTTCCTCTAAGAAAATTAGCCTGTTTTCAATGGATCCATTCTTTTTCACTTGATCCAATTCCAACATGTCCACAACTGTATTTACTCTTAAAGGTAACAGACACATAAAATAAAACAGTATATTACTACTTACTAAATCATAGTTCAACATCCGCAATTTTCATTTACATAAAAAAATAACCAGTTGTGCTATGTCACCCTGCAGGCAAACCTTTAGGGTTTGTGTTAATGGGCTTTTGTTTGCTTCAAACGGGTTTTGCATTCCCATACTATGGTGATGCAAAATCTGCTTGAAGCAGGTCAGAAACTGCAGATCAAATGCACTTGCCAATTACTTTAGAATAGAACACCAATGAATAAGTACTGTAAATGCAGACAGAACTGCTCTCCAGCCCACAACAACTTCACACAATGTGTGATTGGGTGGACTGTGTTAAAAAAAAAAAAAAAAAAAAAAAGAAGATCGTGTTTTTCCCACATTTGTGTGTTTTGGAAGTATACAGTATCTAAACCTCAAAACAAAAATGCAATACATTTTTTCTCTTTATTTTCACCTGGCAATCATTTGAATACCACAAATTATTTCTCTGGGTGACTACACTCAATGTTTTTGCTTTCAGTTCCTCTCACAGAAAGTGTCAAGAACACTACATTTCTGGCACAATCAACAGATGTTTTCTGTACTTGCTAAAAATGTTCCTAGCCTGAAAAAAGAGAACTAATGCAGCCACCACATCTAGGCACTGTTAAGCTGCAATATGCTAAACTTTTACTCTTGGGTTAAGTTATGCTTTACGTTGCATGTAGTAACGTAATGCAACAGAATGACCAGGTGTGAAGAAGCCCTTATTGGTTTTCTTCAATAAATACATTTAAAATTGAACAACAATTAGGGCCCCTAATATGTGAAAAAATCATGATACTAAGGGATGGGTCTTGAGGTTGTAACTACTCCCCTTTAAAAAGGTAGAAGCAGGTAGTTTGTTGTGGTTGAAAAGGGGTATTCCATCCATGAGGTGCACACTACATGATGCATAGAAAATTATTGCCTAATAGGTATAGAGAGGCAAGAGTCAGGGAACATGCTCCTTCCACTAGTCTTTGTCTTTACAGGGGGCACATTCCCTAAGAAATATTAGGGACAGGGTTTCACCAGATGGGTACACCATGGCCCTGGAACTGTAAAGAGCTCTTTGGCTGACACACATGTTACAGACAGGTGTCTAGGCGGGTGCCTTTAGCAGGGCCTAGTGCTCAAGGATGCATTACAGGCTGCTTCCACTTCTATATCTCAGCAGGGCCCTGGTAAGGTTCCCGTGGCAATCCAGATGACTAGTCAATACAGAAGGTTGCAAAATAAGCCTTTTGTGGCTCTGAAGCAACAGAAGAAATGTGCTAGAAGAAAAGGAATCTTGATAAAAAGTGAAGAAAATGTTTTGCTTTTCTTAGAGGAGATGCTTGTTCTTCTAAAACACTAGCAGAAAACTGAGGCATGATGAAGTGGAACATGTTTACTAGACTGCACTTACAGCTTTGTTTGCCAGTGTCCAATCTCCTGAAGGCAGCAGCATAACCCAATGTACCCGAATTACTTCATTATGTGTCTCTTAATGTATGATTAAGAAATATGGTCCATTATAATACCAGAGTCCAACACCATGCTTTGCAGGACAGATTCAAGGTATACAATCTATATAATATTTGGTCACTATCGAACAGTCATTAAAGGCAGTATAAATAACTTGAGTTTTCTCAAGCCCAACCTTGCAGCTTGAGGATTGTACCACCTATATACTGTATGTGTAGCGTACAGCTCACAAACATTTCTTCCAGTATTCACTTCAGGCCAGACTCTCATTGCACTCTATTTATTTTATTCACGGCAGCATTAAAAGTGTGACATCATGGCCACCTAAGCTGAAGCTGGGGATAAACAGTCTCAAGGATAAAGCTTGCACGTTTTGTATCAGTACACTTAGAGGCAGAACAAAGGTAGAGTAGGACATGGTGTGTTACCACATATAATTGCATGAGCTGTAAATGAAAGCAAAGGCAAAAACAACTATGATCAGTGTGACACGGGAATCATTTTATTCCCTGTCAGCAGCTTAATTTGTGTGCCACTGTGGTCCACATTCTACAATGCCCATGAAAAAATCCAGCCCTGATTTAATAATGTGTTATTATAGTTGTATTATTAAGCTTGCTTTAATCTTCTTAGAAAGCATATAGTGCAGTGCTTACTTCTCAGAAGTATCTCTAATCTTCTGCTCTGTACTTTGCTTCATTTGCTTCTGAAGGTGCTGCAAATAATTTTCTTTGAGATACGTTTCCCAGGAAAGGAGAGCAGCTTCTTCATTCTTTTCTAATTTTTCTTCTAATGGAAATGACCAATAAGCAACAATAAGCAGAGAAAAATGGTAAGGAAACTACACCAAGTTGATAAGGGCTGTTATGTAGATATCCTTTTTGATCTATAGAAACCATTTTACTATCCAAAATAATCTTCTGGTACCCTTATGCTCCGTGGGGGTAGAATTACAAGAACAAAGAGATCAACCAAAAACCATCAGGATCAAGGCATATCTAAAAACAATCAAGGGCCAGACAAAGGACAATATTAATGACAAAAGGTCTAAGATGATAAAAGGTTTTGGAATTGAAGCACATGCAATATGGGTCAAGTAAGATTTTTTTGTGGAGAAAAAAGTGGGTAAATTTAAAGATCATCAACTGATGTTATTTCATGTATTTGTTCATTAGGATCTATTTATGATAATGAAATGCAGAGATAAATTCAAGGCAGGAGAGCAATCCAGCAAATGTGGAATGTCTACAGAACATGTAATTATAATACAAACATATACTCTACTGACAAATATTTGTGGCATGGTACAGTATACAGTATACCATAAACTGTTATAGTCTAATTTCAAGCATTTAAAAGTTAAAACCTACAGCTAAACACCAGGCACATACAGTATTCTAAAAACCCAATTTAATGCAGCAAGTATTAATTAAAATATTGACATAAATGTATAAATGCAACTAATATGCAACTACAGTACCCAAATCTGTTTTGATACCAGCCTGATTGAGAGAGAGAGAGGCAACATTCTTAGTCAGTCAGGCTCTGCCTCATGCACATGTGGAGAATAAGCTGCGCAAGTCAGGACTGTATAAATCTCCGTTTTGCCAAGACAAAATTACAGATTCATTTACAAGTAAAACAGATTCGTACATATTCCACATGTGCAGTATTTCAACTGTGTATTTAGCTGTTTGCCTGGAATTCAGCTTGAAGACTACACTAAGACTAGACTAATTAGAATGGACTCTTACTAAGTTGCTTTTGTCTTCCTGCGGGTTTATGAAGAATGACGTTTTGAATTAACTGATGTAGATGATTAAATAGAATAAAGGGTGGAGGGGCAGGTGGCCGACCATTATACTCCTCAATTAAATCATGTCGCTGGAACTTCCAAATCTGATCTGTATGTTCCTGCACCTGTTGGAAAGTGTAGCTAAAAAAATAATACTAGATTAATTAACAGAATACAAAAATTACTAAATAAAATTGCAAAGACTTTAAATATATTATCATCTACAGTACATAATAAATTATTATGATGCATTGAATGTTTTTAAATCAGCAACCATCAAGCCAAGCCATTGAACTATAAAAATATTAAAGTGGCTTCTAAAAGCGAAAAACAAAACTAACAAATACTGGCCTTTAGAAACAGACCCCTTGAAAACGAAACTCCCATTCACAACATGTCCGCAATTTGTAACTTCACTGTTAGATTCTGCAGTGTTGTACCACACACACACACAAGACAATAAATGCTAAACCTAAATCTCATATGCTGCTTGGTTACTAACAGACCTTAAACGGGTCCTGTCTTTCTCCTTACAATACAACCCCTTTCACCTTGTCAATAAAACCCAATGTCTTTTTTTTTAATCATAGCACACCTGAGTACCTGATGTATGAGAAATATACTGAAGAGGTCACATTTCTTGTTACCCTTAGCAAGCAATCCACTTTCAATTGTTATTTTTATTGTCTAGGTTTGAACAACAATTAAGGAAATACAACCCCAATTCCCAAAAAGTTGGGACGCTGTGTAAAATCCATATAAAAACAGAATGCAATGATTTGCAAATCTTATAAACCCAGATTTCATTCAAAATAGAAAACATAAAACATATGAAATGTTTAAACTGAGAAAAACCATTTTAAGAAAAAAATAAGGTCATTTTTAAATTGATGGCAGCAACATGTCTCAAAAAAGTTGGGACAGGGCAACAAAAAGCTGACAAAGTAAGTGATACTAACAAGGAAGAGATGGAAGAACTAGTTAAGTTAGTTGGCAACAGGTCAATTACATGATTGGTGTCGTGGGCCAAGGGTGCCCCCTTACATGGGTGCCAGCGGGCACAACATAGGGTGTAGGTTCCTTCATGGGTTGATTCGGTGCCTCACGGTATTAGTCAATTTGGGTGCTGGTCATCAACAGGGAGGGCCTTGTTCTCACACCCACCTATCCTCGCTGTCCCATTGGTTCCCAAGGGTTGGAAGCTTCCCCTGTATCTTCATCCTGAACTTGCATGTCGGTGCTGTTCTCTGCTATTGGGTTCCACTCTAGCAGACAGGGCTACTCTGCCCCCTGACAATTGGGTATAAAAAGAGCATCTTACAGAGTCAGAGTGTCTCAGAAATAAAGATGGGCAGATCTTCACCAATTTATGAAAAGCTGCGCCCAGAAATTGTTGAACAATTTCAGAATAATGTTCCTCAATGTAAAAATTGCAAAGACTTAAAAAATATTATCATCTACAATACATAATATCATCAAAAGATTCAGAGAATCTGGAGAAATCTCTGTGAGCAAGGCACAAGGTTGAAACGCAATATTGGATGTCTGTGATCTTCGGGCCCTCAGAAGACACTGCTTTAAAAAAGGCATGAATCTGTGATGAGTACAGGAAAGCTTCCAAAAATCACTGTCTGTGAACACAGTTCTTTGTGCCATCCACAAATTCAAGTTAAAGCTCTATCATGCAACATCTAAACATGATCCAGAAACGCCACCGTCTCCTCTGGGCCAAAGCTCATTTAAAATGGTCTGTTGCAAAGCGGAAACTGTTCTGTGGTCGGACGAGTCAAAATTTGATTTGGCAACCATGAGTCCTCCGGAGTAAAGAGGAGAGGGACCTTCCAGCTTGTTATCAACACTCAGTGCAAAAGCTTACATCTCTGATGGTATGGGGGTGCATTGGCGTGTATGGAATTGGCAGCTTGCACATCTGGAAAGGCACCATCAATGCTGAAACATATATCCAGGTTTTGGAGCAGCATATGCTCCCATCCAGTGTTTTTTTCAGGGAAGTCCTTGCATATTTCAGCAGGACAATGCTAAACTGCATACTGCATCTATGACAACAGCATGGCTTCATAGTAGAAGAGTCCACATGCCATTGAAGGCCTACCTGCAGTCCAAACCTTTCACCAATTGAAAATATTTGGCGCATCTTGAAATGAAAAATACAACAAAGAATACCCAGGACTGTTAAACAGTTAGAATCTTATATCAGGAAAAAATGGGACAACATTCCTCTCCCACAACTCCAGAAACTAGTCTCCTCAGTTCCCAGATGTTTACAGAGTGTTGTTAAAAGAAGATGGGATGCTACACCGTGGTAAACATAGCTCTGTCCCAAGTTTTTTGAGATGTGTTGCTACCATCATTTTCAATGATGGTAGCACTGTGGTTTTCTACTTTTTGGGTCTCTAATCCGGAAGCACCCACCATGCAATTTTCTGTTTTTGCTTTTGAAAAGAGCTTTTCAGAAATAAGAAGGAAACAAAACCTAACAGACTGACAGACACAAATCCACTGCAATGTATTTTGGGAGTGGATCAGGCAAGTTACAAAGAGACCAGATTTGTGGCTCATTCTTAAAAATACATAAGAAATGTCACTTTTCCTTATAGCAACTAATCATTTTCTATTCTAAATTTTCTCTGCTATGGAATACTGCTGAAATATAATTTACAGTGACTATCTGTATGATCAATCATTGAATTTTAAAGTATACACCGCTCAATCCCTAAAGTGGCACAACACCGACCCTACCAGTCACATCAATCAGGTGCAGGCTCCAAACATACGTTCTGGCATAACAAAATCCTAAAATTCCAACGTAGATCCGCACATTCGACAGGTGATAAAAAAAATCTGATTTATTGAAAGTTCATAGCATCCAAGTACACAGTAAAATCACCCCACCTAGATCCTATAGCCTCTCACGCGTTCTACCAGATCATAGACTATGTTATGAACTTTCAATAAATCTGATTATTTTTATGAACTGTCGGATGTGCGGCTCTATGTTGGAATTTCAGTATCTATATGACCAAATCCGAGTCAATCCCATAGTATTTCTATGGTATTAGTCAATGTGAGCTAAACGCATGGCTTTTGGGTTTCGGTAAAGCTTGTATGCCAAAATGAAAATGTCAAATGAGCTAAATGTAGGGGTTATGCATTTACAGTATAAGGTAAGCCTAAGAACAATTTGAAGGGAAACCTGGTACTCTTAAGGCTGGACCAGGGGGATCTGAAGCTGAACACAAATATTTGAGAAGACTGATGAAGCACTTCACTCTGCCTTGGCAGTTCTACTTCACTATGGCACCTCGGTAAAAAAAAAAAAAAAAAAGATGACATGAGATGACAGAAATAGTGATATTCTCAAGTAAATATCAAATAAAACATAAAAAGTATTTGTGTCGCCTAAACTTTCTGCACTTACATCTAAATCTGAGTTATCCTTATTTGCACAAGGAGTGACTTACTTAAACATAGCAATAAGAAGGTTTAGGAGAAGAATATTGGTGAACAGTAAATAGAGGCACAGTAATAAAACAGTCAGCCACTGTGGAAATATTGGTAGGTGATTCTCCTTATTGGATTCAGGACATTTCTGTTTGTTTGGATCTGTCCCATTTATGGTACATTGGTCAAGATTGAAGTTCACTCCTACAAAAAAAATAATATTACAGTACAATACATTTTTTACCATTTCAATAATTAAAACATATTCATTTTTTAGTATGTTAATACATATTGAACCTAACGTGAGAACCTTTCTAACTGACATTGAACTTAGAACTGAACTCCAGACAGGCTTACGAAAAATCTAGTTCAGTTGTATATAAAAGCCGTTTTAAGGCTAATTTGCAATATTTTGTTCAAGAGAAGAGCGTTGGAAGCTGAGCACAAAGTTGAAAATGACAATAAAATGAATGAACGTTAAACCGCTGCTAATACAGGCACTGGTATGGGAGAAGGTTTCAGGAAAATATGCTTCACCCACTAACACCCACTAGTAGCTACATGCCCTATGAATGTAATAAGATATGGGGTGTTCTGGTAGGCACATTGTTCTATCTTAGGGGAGCACAATGGCCACACACATAGATGTCAATAAGGAAAACTGCAAGTGTTTACAAATAATTTTTTCAGAAACATTCATATTACTTAAATGGGGTGGCTATAGATGAACATGAAAGGCTGTATATGGCTAATATAACCTACATCTTGTTTTATATTAGCTTCATGCAGAGGCGTAACTAGGACCCCGGTGCAAGAAACCATGAAGGCCCCCCGCCAGCAAACGCGGGACCTCAGGCAGCAGGGCTAAGAGGAGAGAGTCCTCACACAGCAGAATGTGCTGCCCGGAGGTGCTCGCAGCACATTCTGCGGGATCGGTAACAGCCTTTCCTTCCCCGCCACACAGCCACCCGTACATGCTGCGGGTGGCTGTGCGGCAGGGAAGGAGCGGCATGATCTCAGGGGGGCCCTCTTCTTCCTCGCTGGGCCCCCCAAGTGGCGGAACGCCAGGGCCCGGTTGCTTTTGCGACCGCTGCGACCCTGGTAGTTCCGCCAGTGACTTCATGTTGTCCCCGGTACAGCTGAATGAGCTGCTACTCCTCTTTTGGCCAATTAACAGGCTGGGGGAAAGTCTATATATACAAGTTATCAAAAGTATTGTCATAATTACTGGACTTCATACCATCTATATAAGAAGGAATCTGTCCAAATAATGTCATGTAGGAATGGTAAACAACTCCACGGAATATCCAGTCAACTCTCATCTCATTGTGAATCAATATAGCTTGTTTTGCAACTCCGAAGGATATCACCCAAACAGCCAAAAGGAAAAGGAAAAAGAAGACATCTTTCATCTGTGCTTGGGAAAAGGAACACACAGATTGTGTTATATGTTTCCATACAAGGCAAGAGGATGTGAAAGTTAAAGTGTCACTAAACGCAGGAGTAAAACCTTATATGTAGCTTATCTGTGCATCATGTGGCTGTAGACCCTCAAATCTCACAATCTCAAGTTTAGTTTACTAATTTGTATTGCGATTGTAGTCCATCATGGGAGCGAGTTTGGGGCAGTTGCTACTTTACAACACACACAGGGACCATGGGGAACAAAAGTAGCCACCCTCCAGAAGGAAGGACAGTGACAACATGAATTCAGAGATGATTTGAGGATCTACAGCTGAGTGATGCACAAATAGGATTCATTTTTGTTAATGTTTAAGGTACTTGAATGCACTTTTAAGATTTATCTGCTTGTTTAATGTCACCTTAAATATAACTACATCGATGCAAAATAAACAACACACATACTTCCAAACATTAGACAACCAAATAAATTAATATAACTTAGAGCAGTACTACATAACATTTAAAGAATAATATGAGTACGGAAAAGACTTGGCAGTAAACATATATAAAAAACTGTGTTCACTTATTAATTTAACACATTGCATACACCACTGACACATTATGGAAAACAATGAACCATTTACTTGCCATTTTACTTGGGCTGTATAATCTGTAAGTGCTGAAATGTAAAAGTAAATTCCTATAGCAGTGTAAATTTGACTTTTGCTATGTAGTTTTATTCACAATTGGGGCTGCCTAAAATGTATGTGCTAAACATTACTTTGTTAAGCAATATATCACATAAACATCAGATGTTGGTAACAGCTTCAAACACAGTACTGTATTTATTATTCAACATGTGTTGTCTGCAGGCCTATTTAAAACTGAGCTTGTCACCATATCTATAAAACAAATAGAGTGTACTGCATATTTTAGTAGAATGTCATAACAAATAGGAATCCACAACAGAATGAATGAAGCATGGCAAATTTAAGCAGTCACTGGGTTTTTTTTAACTAAAGGACCAAAGACTGTTTGCCTTTCGAGGGAAATTAAAGTGAATATGCTCTTTGCTATGCAAAATCTAAGTTCAATTTGCAAAAAGAATGTTAGGATGTAGGGCGGAGCTGTATTCATTTCAGTCAACTAATCATATGCTAGCAAAAGTGTAGTTTTTTTTTTTTTAATTTACTTTTCATCATCTACATCTTTAGGCCCCATTCCCACATGAGTGTTTTGTGTTCGGCTGTTAAATGTGAAGAAAATGCGCACTTTGATGAGCGTTCGCAAATCGCCTAAAAAACATGTGCTGTGCTGTTACCAGTTAATGTCACCCCAAATGCGGCTGGCCAAACGTGGCAAACAAACGTGCACAAACATGCACAAATGAGATGCATGTTCCCGCTAGGCTCCAGTGTTAATGGGACCTTCATAAGGCTACACCACTGCATTATAACAGCATAAACACCAGAGTGGCAGGAAAATTATCTCACACTGGTAAAAAAAACAGCTGTATCCTTTCACAAAAATTTATTTTCAATGCTGGACACAGAAAAAATAACATTTTAAACTCCACTCCAAGGGACCTTACACAGTGGGGTTATTTACTAAAGGCAAATAGGCTGTTCACTTTGCTGGGGAATTCTCACTGTGCAAGGGAATGTTCCTTTAACTTAGTAAATGAGGTGAAGCTCTCCTGACTTCCATTATCCAATCAAGTGCAAGCATAAATACTGTTTTTTTAAATTGTCCATGCATGTCATTGGATAGCTTTTGAAAAGTGAATTTTTCCCACATTCACTAAACAGAGGGAAAATTCCCTTGGAAAGTGAAAAGTTCCCTTGCAAAGTGAACAGCCTATTTGCCTTTAGAACATCAACCCCAATGCGTTAAGAGCTATATGAGGTTTTGAACTATCTATGATATCAGTTGGAGCAGTCTATGAAATATCTGTCTTGTCTAGATAATGACTGTAAATACTTCTAAATATAGTAAACAATAATGATGAGTGAACAGAGCAAAGTTTGGTTCGCTGGACAGCTGCAAATCCTAAACATAGCACCCAAACTCCATTGAAATCTATGGGAGCTAAATCTTTTTTTGTTTTTGTTAAAAAGTGGCATGGGTAGCTGGGCACTGCTATGCGAGAGATGTACACTACCAATGGAAAAACATTTATTGTCTCTAAATAAGAGTTCCAATCCCTGACCTGCTTCTGTTGGTGAACAAAGTGGCCAGGAGATCTGGGGTAAGGCCAATGATTAAACTTGGTCACAGCCATATGCGGTCAACAAAATCAGCCAGCATATTTGTTGACCTTTAGCTGCTGGGATTTGTAATTTGCGGCCAGAGTCCCACAGGAGAGGATTATCATTGAGGGTCTTTGTATTCTGTTGGCGAGGTATGGGCCCCTATTTTTAAAGGGGACTTCCAGATCATGATAAATTCCCCTGTAGACCCCCACATTCACTGAACTAGGGATGTGGGCATGAGGTCTTTGTCCCTATTAACATGGATAGGGCAGTGAGCAGCGAGCGTGCAGTGTGGAAACTCCATAAAATCTATACCAGACCTTTATCCTAGATGGGATGGATTTGTAAAACAAACAATAAAATAAAATGTCATGGTATCCCTTCAAAATCTATAGCAGACCCTTATCTATGCATGCAGTCTGGCTGGCCAGGAAAGGCAGGGGCAGCGGGTCAAACCATACTATGCCACATGCCCTCAACATGAGGAGAGCATCATTCTAGACACTGCTCCAATGTTACAGGAGGCATGCTATAGGAGACTGAGGACAGTGACATGGTTTAGTATGGGGAAAGATACTTTGTTACTGATGGAAGAAAGTGTTATCTGTAGTTTTACTTTAAATCTCCTTCACTATTGCAAATAAACTGACAAGAATAAGCATATAGTCAGAACACTTCTTTCTGCCTGAACACCAATGATGATTATTCAACAAAGCTGTATTCCTGCTTTCATTTTAAATTACATGGTATTATTAGTCTTCACTGTGACATACTAAGTGGAAACACATTACTAATTACTAACTAATATACTGTTGCATCCCCAAGAACTGTTTTTGTCTTGGCAGACACCATTTAATTAAGCTGTGTAACATTATAAATAGCAAAGCTGTTTGAGTTTTTTTTCTGTTAAGTGACCTTGTTATAATTAAATGTAGTTTTACCGGTTGGTTGCATTAATTTACATGAAATCTAAAAAAAAAATGTAACTGCCACTTTACTCACCATTCTTTTTACAATTATGATTTTAGGTCCAAGGGTTTTGCTGATGGTAAATATATGCATGAGACGTAAACAGAAAATCACAAAATCTAATGATAAAATTATTCTTCCAGGATAAAATGTTGCTGGAATTAACCTGCAAAAGAGACAATGATCTGTAAAGCGTAGAAAATCTTCTAAACTGAATGAAATTATTAATGTGATCACTCTGTCAATACAATCCTATGGGCACAAAAATGCAGTAGCTGGGGCTCCCGGGTGTCGCAAATATAGAGGTATTTTATGCTGTACACCCATATACCTGTATTTACATCCGTGTTGATCAGCCTTTACTGTATATACATATGAAGCTATCATGGTAATAGCTCGAGTGAGTTCTGTTATCTTTACACAGATAAGTGTCTGTAAGCTACTATAATCCCGAAAATAAGACACTGTCTTATTTTCGGGGAAACACGGTACTAAATCTTTCTGATAAATGTACCAATTTAATATACAAATCTGTTTTTGGCATTTTATCACAAATCATTTTTATATCAGTACATAAACCTCCTCAGTTTGTCTAAGCTTTTTCAATCAGAGGTCATTTATTTTATATTATATAATATACTACACTGTTTATGCTATCATGTTACCTAAGGAGCCCCTGGATCTGGTTTATATATAAAATAATGAAGAGTACAGGCCCAAAGAAGAACAATTTTGCCTTCTCTGATTCTTAGCAAGGGAAGGTATGCAGTTGCTGGGGCTCAGGTATGGTGCTTGGCAGCAGATATATTTATTTGTCTGGTTTCATTATTGTATACGCTAAAAATCATGTTGTTAAAATTCATCAATAACAAACCTGCAAATCAGTCCACCAATGAAGATCAGAATGGCACAGACATCAAGTTTGTTCCAAAAATCATTATAATACAGTGAAGCTTGTTTCAACAGTCCAAATCGATCAGGATCATAAATCAACTAGAAAAACATAAAACCAATGTAACTGATAAACTGCATAAATGTATTCCATTTTATTGAAATGCATGCTAAGGGCAAGGTTGAAACTTTAGCACAGTTTTCTGTCTAAGTATTCCCTCACATCACAGAAAGGTGGATTGGTGCTCTGTCATAGGAACAAGATCAGCACCAAGTCATCACAGATATTTCTATAAGTATTTATATAAGTTACAAGATCTAGAATTGTCATCTTTACAAATAGATGTTGAAGGGGGGGGGGGGGGCGGGGGGGGGGGT